TTATAAAATTATTTTTTCAGTGGCAAGTAGCTATAGACAACTCAACTCGATTGTTTTCACATTCTGGCAAAAAATTATTTGTTTGTATGAGTAAGACAGGTTATAAAAAATATATATAAAATTATAATGCAATAATTAATCTTAGTCAATTTATACACAATTATTGGCCCAAAAAATTTTTTATATTTATTTCCATTTAGATGACGAAGATTCCCCTTATTATATTTTGAAATTGCCACACTACCCAAAGAACCTTAAACAAATGATTATTATTCGTTGCTGGTTAGAACGACTATTTAAATGTGATTTTGATTGTGCTGATTTCTATAGCAGTGTATTTAATCAAGAAATGATCAATATATTATTTGATAATGACAAATCAATTCGAGCTCAATTTAATATTAAAAATGTATCTCTACATGCTGGCAAAGTATCAATTGAGAATATTTTGGAATTTTATTTAAATTATCTATCAAATTCTGAATATTTGTACATCAATTTAAAATTTGTTGGGTACTCTTCACTTATAGCGGGTTTTTAATGCGTGTATGGATATGGACGTATGAGGTGTCATTCGACTCAGCTCGACGAGCTGAGTCGAACTAGAGGTGGGAGAAGTTTGTCCGGTACCTAGGTACCGAGTTACAGACTTCAGAAAATTCAAAAAGAGAAGGGGGGAGTAAGCTCATTTTCCAAATAATAGCTCATTCGAAAGAGCTCATCGAGCTGAGTCGAATGACACCAAAATCAACGAAATCCGACTTGATTTGACAAAGTAATGAGCATTTGTTTTAGCTCCTTACCTATGCTCGCCGTGGAGGTTTTTGCTGACGGAGGCCCCAAGTACTTCTAGAGCAAGGGAGATAGGAATAGGGTTATGTTACTGACCCAGACCCAGCGACCGTTGACTCCCCGCGAGGCGCATGCCGCAAAACCCCGCGCGAAGCGCGGGGTTTTGCACAAGCGCCTTGCCGACGCCCCATAGGTTTAGGTTTTTGTTTTTCTATCGTAACTCTTCCAGACTTGTACAATCACGATGATTTTGGTGTCATTCGACTCAGCTCGTCGAGCTCTTTCGAATGAGCTATCATTTGCATATTTATTATGCCGTTTACGATTTTTGACCATTTTGAGCCCCTATATCTCGGTCCCTAGGTACCGGACAAACTTCTCCCACCCCTAGTTCGACTCAGCTCGTCGAGCTGAGTCGAATGACACCTCATACGTCCATATCCGTCCACGCATTAAAAACCCGCTATAAGTGAAAATTTTCAAGTGTTGACATTACAGATCACCATATAAATATTTTATTCAATATTATAATAAATAAAGGCAATAAAATGCCAGAAATTATTGTTGAGGGTTTCGAGATAGCAAGGCTTCATGATCTTATTTTAGAAGTAAGCCGTTTATAAATACGAACTTATAAATAAATTTAAATTCTAGTATATAATAACATCAAAAGACTGTTCAAATATCGTGCCTAAAATTGTTCTTTTGTCTTCGTATTTTCCTGATTTTAAATTGAATGAAAGAGCAGAAAATGTTGAAATTAAGCAAGTAGAGACGGAAAAACATACAAAGTACCAAATTGCCAATATTTACAATCCAAAAGTGAGATTTGAATTTTGCACTAAAAAAAATAAAGAAGGAGGGAATTTTTGTCATACAGTCGAAATAATGGAAAAGAATTGAATGTAAGAAACGGAAGCGGAAATTTTATTTGATTTGTTGGATCTCTAATGCAATTTTGTCTAATGCAAACAATGCAAAAAAGTTTTCGCTTGTTTTGAAAACTTTAGGTGGAATTCTGTTTATATATATACCAGGGGCCTATTCCACAAAGCGACATTGACATCAAATGTCGCGACATTTGTCAATCGCTTGACATTCCGATTGCGATTGTGTTCCACAAAGCGACATTAAAATTATTTTGTGACATCGACATTGACATCTACTTTTAGCGACATTGACAGCGAAATGTCGCGATTGTGTTTCACAAAGATTTTAAAATCTAGTGTCAATCGACACTAGCAATCGAAATGTCGCGATTTTGGCGACACAGCACGAACGCTATGTCGCTACTGGGAAATATGTGAAATTTTGATAAAAATTTTTGATAAATTTACTTTTTTAGTATTTTATGAATATTACCATTAACTTTTTAATAAAATTTTTTGCTTCCTAAATTCCAAAAATTTTGTACTGAAAAAGGGAACTTTGGTATATCGTAGGATTTGCAGGAGCTAATGTGGGTTTCAGGGATATAAAGAAATTTGGCGGAATTAAACTAAATATCAGATTTGGGTGCGATATCGTGGGATCAAAATTTTATGGGATTATGTGAATTTAGAGGGTATCGGTGGAGGGTATTGAGAATTGCCCAAAGAAGTCCTCTTTTCGTTCGTAAACAGCTTTCAAAAAACAATTTTACTGCTTTCATCCATTTTTAAAAAAAAACTTCTCTAAAAATAAAGAAAATTATTTAAAAGAAAATAATAAATAAACAAAATTTAAAGAAACAAATATTTTAAAGATGACATCGATATTTTGACAATGACATAGACTGATTTCTTTAATGGAACACAATCTTGTGTCAATGTCGACAATTGATGTCAATGTCATTAGAAATGTCACAAATTTAGTTGTCGTTTAGTGTAACACAATCCTATGTCAATGTCGCAATCGCGATTGACATTTGGACATCGACATTTGATGTCAATGTTGCTTTGTGGAATAGGCCCCAGGCATCTCTTTAGGCCTTCCTTATCCCTCTAAATCCATCGATATGATGAATTTATAGTTGAATTATAATTTTTATAAAGCGGAATGATGATAATTAATGACTTTTCATTGATTTTTTTGAATTATGAATAGTTTTTAAAAAATTTTAAAAATAAACGGTAAACGGTCGTTTGAACGGGTTTTTAAAATTAAACGAAACGGTATACGGGTCTCAGATAAACGGCATAAACGGTATACGGTTTTTTCAAAATTAAACGGTTTGGCACAACCCTATTAATTAAGTTTAAATATTTTTATCAATTAAATTAAAAATAATATTTTTAAAATATTATCTGTATACTTGTTTATCAAAAAATTTTAAATTTTCTTCATGTCTTGGAGACAAATTTAAATCAAATTTAGGTTTTTTATTTGAACAGTTTGAAGAACTTGCTTCATCTTCTAGTTCAATTTTTATTTTAACATGCTTCTTATTTTCTAAATTTTTTAAAAATTAAATTTTTACGATGTTAAATTAATTTATTTTATATAAGTAGACTTTTTGATCCATCCCATCCTTCTTCAGTGTCAAACGAAAATCTCATCTTTTTATTGTGAATATTTGCAATTTGGTATTTTGTACATTTTGTATGTCCAAAATGTTTAATTTCAACTTTTTCAGCCCGTTCACTTAATTTAAGACTTGTGGAATTGGAGAATTTAAAAAGAATAAAAGGCAACATTTTTGAATAATCTCTAGATGTTGCTATATACTTAAATTTGAATTTTTTTTTAATTTTTTATTTATCAACTTCGATAAGACGATTATAAAGTATCTGTACATTTATAGTAATATCATCCACAATTCCTGGAGAATTATTAAATATCAACTCAACTACTGCAAAATTGTCTCCTCCATTTATCAAAAATTTAAATAAATCATCTTTAGATTTCTCTAAAATTTCTTTAGATAAAGGAAAAAATATATAAAGAGTTTCGGTAATTAAATTATTTAAAGCAAATTTAAATATATTTTCAATATTGTAGTCATTAATAAATAGTTCGCATTCTCGAACATAAATTTGTTTGGGAACTCTTCCAAATAATAATTGAATTAATTCTGGATTGAATATAAAGTTTTCAAAGTAGCAATAGTTAAATGAACAATTAAATAATTTATTTAAATAAAAATAAACAATTTTTAAGTCCTCTTTGCTTTTGATAATTGTTGGCAGTTGTAGAATGATAGGATGGGATTTGCTGACGCAAACTTAAAAATTTTGAATTAAAAGAGAATAGAAACGCTTTAGTCCGAACAAAATTTATTTACAGAAAACCGCAAAACGCCGCGCTTCGCGCGACGTGCTTATTTGTGCTACTTGTGCTTACTCCCCCTATGGGTTTTCGATTTTTGGGGACCTATATTTCGGTCCACAGGCATCTTCGGCCGTTCGACTCAGCTCGCCGAGACGAAACAATGGTATGGGTTTTGTATCGAAACTAAGACTCCGGTATACTAAACTACAGCCAATGTTTGCATTCCCCTTTTGTATATTAGAGGTTAAGGAAATTTATATGAGACGGTATTTTTAAGGTTACATAAAATCTTTTTAAACTCGCAAACTGAGGGTGCCTCAAAAATTTTATTAAACAAAATTTAACTTTTAGACAAGCAATCAACAATGTTGCTATCTAAATCTTGATTGATATACAAAGGAATTGGGGTTTCTAGTCCATTTTTCCACTAAAAAGGAAGGAAATTTTGAATTTTATAGCTTTTTAAATTGACCTTCTCTTCAAGTCGTTCATTCAATGGAAATTCAAAATCTATAGTTTTAGGATTAACTAATTTATGAGGTTTTTTTTCGAATTTATCGACATTATTCTAAAATTTCGTAAAATTAAATTAATTAAAACCAATTACTATATAGATATAATATAATTTCTCCCTAGCAAGTTCCCCTTCAAAATTATTAACAAAAGCACTAAAATACAAATTTGTTTGTTTAATTGAACATAATTCTTTATATCTGAAGAATTTAAAAATATTAAGCTTTGTTTCTGTTGGTATTTAATAAAACATTTTTTGAAGAACTAAGAGATTAAATAAATTTTTATATTTTGAAAATATTTAAAAATAAATCGGAAGGCTTTATCCTGCAAAAAATGAATGCAAATTGATTATAAAAATAATTTAATCAAAAAAATCGACGAAAAACAAATGTGAAAAATATTTCTCCGATAAATCAAAAACTTTATTTTCTTCTTTTTAAATTCTACTCTTTCACTATTCTGATTTTAACATCAAAATTCGAAAAAACTTTCTCTTCTACTATGGAAAATGAGAATCTAACTTTTGGATTGTAAATATTGGCAATTTGAAAATTTGTAAATTTAACTCCATCTAATTGTTTAATTTCAACTTTCTCTGCTCTTTCGTTTAATTTAAGACTTGTGGAATTAGCATATTCCAAAATAATTTCAGGTTCTATTTGTGAACAGTTTCTAGATGTTGCCATATACTAAAAATTTAATTTATTTTTAAATTTTTGACTAAATAACTTCAACAATCCGATCATAAAACATTGTTACATTTACAACGATATCCAACATTTTTGGAATATTATAAAACATCAAGTTAACTTCTTTAAACTTGTCTTCTCCATTTGTTAAAATTTTAAATAAAATATCTCTATGTTTTTCTATAATATCACCTAGGAAAAAATCAATTTTAAGAACTGCACTAGCTAAATTATTCCAAATGAATTGAAATAAATTTTCAATATCGCTTTTAGAAATAGACGGATTAGCTCTTTTGATATAAAATTGTTTAGAAGTTCCAAATAAAAATTGAATCAATTCTGGATTGAATATAAATTCATCAAAGCAGGCATATTCAAAACAACAATTAAATAATTTATTTAAATAATAATAAACAATTTTGATGTCTTTTTTGTTTTTGATAATTGTTGGCAGTTGTAGTTACCTTTAGACAAACAAATAACAATATTGTTAATCGAATTTTGAGGTAAATACATATGAATTGGGTTTTCTAATCCATTTTTACACTAAAAAGGAAATTTTTAATATTTTCGCTTAGTTATACCTTCTCTTCAAGTTGTTCATTTAAATTAATATTTAATGCTTTGTGTTTAATCAATTTATGATGCTCTTCTTCGAACTGAAAGAAAAAACATTTAAATAAAACTTAAAAATTTTAATTCATCAAAAAAATTTTACAATATAAATGCTATCAAATTTTTCTCGAGCAAGTTCTCCTTCATATTTATTAATAAATTCCCGAAAATACAAATTTGTTTGTTTGATTGAACATAATTCTTCATAATTGAGGAATTTAAAAATGTAAAGTTGAACTTCATGTGGTAAAGAAAGCATTTTTTGAAAATTTATTTAAGTAATAAAAATTAATTGAAAAAATGTTAAGAAATTATATTATTTAAAATGTGTTCAAAAATATTTAAAAATATAACAAACATTAGCATACAGAAAAGAATTTTTCAAAATAAAATTAAACAAGGGTAAAAGATTAAAATTTATTGCTGATAAATAAAATTTGGAATAAGATGAAAGAAACTATCCAAAAACGATTAAGTAATAATTAATGCCATTCTCATAAAAAATTTCGTTAAATAGCTTTAAAAATCGACTACAAAAATGCGAAACTACTAAGTAAGTAGCTTTATGGTATACTTATATTACTTAGTTTTTCTTAATTCTCATTGCCTAATTACATATGTAAAATGGGCGTCAATCTAAAAAAGATTCATGTGATTTTTGCCTTACAAAGGGAATAATTTTTTATAGTAAATGTTAATCTTTAAATGATAAAGAGAAATTGAAAAATTGTATTTAATCGAATACCGAAAGGATCTATTTTTAATTTGTGGAAATCTTAATAAATGTTCTTTTGGAAAAATCAAAAAAATTTTTTTAGCAAGACGTTAACAAGAAAATAAAAAAATTTAAAAATTGATTTTGAAAAAGTAAATATTATTTCCCGAATACGCCCAGAAATTGGTTTTCTAAATTTCGATCCCTTTCATTTTATTAGAGTAATATACCTATGTACATTTTTACTTAATTTAATAGGAAAAAAGTTTATTTTTTCATCTTTTATTAAAGAAATTGATGCTTATATAAGCTTTTAAATGTCATTCTTCCATTGATTTCCGTTCCGGTTAGTTTGAATCTTCGAAAAACTTTTCCGCAAGTTTTTTTTTCAGTGCGATTTTTGAGACAATTTATGTTGGCGTCCATTTTTTGCCGATTTTGGCGTATGGCGTGATTTAAGAATTTGAAAAATTGGCGTTTGGCGCGCAAAAATTTTGGCGCACAGCCCTGCTCGTAATCCACTGAAATGCCCTTAAACTGCCGAAATTTTTCTTAATTCATATCAGTGTTTTGTACGGATATCAAGGGAATATGATTGATTAAGGGGATAAGAAAGGATATTCTAACAATCTTATGAGAATCTCGGAGGTCAAGTTGCAAAATTCTTCCATTTTCAGCGCCGCAGGCGAAAATTTTTCGTATTTATGATGGTCAAGAAGCTAAAATTCATCCTTTTTGACGCCAAAAATTCAAATTTTAGTCAAAAATGACGTTCGATATTTTTTTCGATAATTATTATTTGGTCGGTCGATATTCTCTATATTTAAATTCTTTCGATCGATATTTTTCGATAAATATCGAAAAATATCGAATATCAAAAAATATCGAAAAACACAAAATTTTCTCGGTCGATATTTTTCGATAAATATCGACCCAAATATCGAAAAATATCGTATCGAGCCGGGCTCTAATCTTAATTTAGAATTATTTAAAAATAAATTGGCAGGCTTTAACATGTTAAAGGTAAACTTTATAAAACAAAAATAATTAAATCAGAAAAGGTTTTATATTCCACATTACATTCTTTTGATATGAATACAAGAATGTATTCCACCATTCCATTCTTCGTTACAGAATGTAAATTTCACTTTTGGATTGTAAGTATTGAAAATTTGGTAATTTGTATGTTTTCTCTTATCTAATTGAACAACTTCAATTTTTTCTGCTCTTTCACTGAATTTAAAACGGGAAGAAGCAGAAGTAGAAAAAGAAAAAATAATATGAGGTACCATTCTTGAACAATTTATAGATGTTGTTATATACTAAAATTTAAATTTATTTTTTAGCTTATTTATAAATAAGGAGATACTTCCATAATAAGATCATAAAGTCTTGCTAATTTAAAACTTTTTAAATAAATTTTTGGTAATTTATTGCCTTCATTTGTTAAAATATTGAATAAAATATTTGTATTTTGCTCAGTAATGTCAAATGAATAAAAACTAATGTAAAGGAATTTAGAAATTGTCAAATGATTTGAAACGAATTTCATAACATTTTCAAATATTTTATTTTCAGCATCCATAAATAGGCTTTCAAAGTGAAATTGAGGAGGTATTGTTTTTTTGTTGTCGAATAAAATATTGATAATTTCTGGGTTAAATACAATACTAGCTAAATGTATTTGTCCATAAACACAATTAAGTAGTCGTCCCACCCAGTAACGAACAATAATCATTTCTTTAATATTTTTTGGACAATTTGGCAATTTTAATAAAAGACGTTTTTTGTCCACTAAATAAAAAAGAATTTAAAAACGATATTTTGAAAAATATTTGTAGACCTGTAGAAATACCAACAAATGTTCTGTCAGGCTTATATTCATGCAAAAACAAAGGAATTGATCTGTCTATCGCTTCTTGCCACTAAAACGGTTAAAGAAATTAAATTAATATAAAAATTAACTTTATTCTTAAGTTGATCATTTAAAGTTAATTCAAAAATTCCAGATTGAGGTTCAATAATGTCATACAAATTTAATGCCGGATTTCCATTAATCTAAAAAACTGAGAGAATATTAATTAATAAATATTTACAAAATAAAAGGTATTTAATTTCATTCGTGCCAATTCTCCCTCATATTTATTAATTAAATTGTAAAAGTAAAAGTTTGTTAATTTAAAAGAGAATAATTGGTTGAAATTAAGATATTTTAATACATCAAGTTGCACTTCAGTTGGCAGAACAAACATTTTAATTATCTAAATAAAGCTTTAGATATACCTTAGCCAGTGGCTAAAGTATCAGTAAATTTGACTCTCTATGCGATCTTTCTCCAACGCTTATACTTAACTATTACCTCGCCACAAAATTAAAAAAAATACTTATTTGAATTAAATTGTGAATAAAAATTAAAAATCCTAATTAATATACTTTAATTTATTTCTCCATCTAATTTCCCAGTCCAACTCTTTACTTTGGATTGACATACTTTTTTTCAAATATTGTAGAGAAATGACGCTTATACTCCCAGTAAAAATGTCTGGGTCACGTCGATGTAAATTTTCCTATATTAAACTTAATAAGAGAAAACCTTCCCTAATAAACTTAATTTATTTAGGTGGGGGAATGACCAACTCATGGAATATTTTAAAAATCGGAATTTTTTGAAAAATCTGAATATTTTTAAAAAATAAGAATTTGATTAGAATACTTCAACATTACCTAATATAATTTCTTTGCATTTTTTCAGTTAATTTTAGGCCTTTTATTAAATTCTCAAAAATGCTTTCTTTACCATGTGAAGTTAAACTTGATATTTTTAAATTCTTCAGTTATGAAGAATTATGTTCAATTAAACAAACAAATTTATATTTTCGAGATTTCATTGATAATTTTGAAGGAGAACTTGCTCGAGAGAAATTTCATAGCATTTATATTGTAGCAATTTTTTAATTGGTCTAATTTTTAAAAATTTATTTAAGGAGTATTTAAATCAATCAAGAGAAGTTCCTCATAAACTTAAAGTTAAAGAAGATTTTGACTTTGACTTTTTTGCAGAGCAACAAAAAGAAATAAATGAACAAATTGAACAGAAGGTTAAATGAAAAGATTAAAGTCAAAATATTTTTTTAGTGGAGCAATGGACTACAAGATCAGATTCGATTATATTTGCCTGATAGAGGATTAATAGGTTACAGTAGTATCATTTGTTTAACGAGAGGTAATCTATTTTTTCATAATGAAATTTGGACGAATTTCAAAAGGTTAAGTGATACTTTTTCCTTTTTTGTCTTGTACGGCTCCCCATTTGCCTTGGGCCTCGAACTGAATACAACATGATCTAAAAATAATTAAGACTCAAGAAAAATTTTTTAGTTCACGACAATGAAAGGCGTATACGTATACAACTGCCAAACATCATTAAAACCAAAAATGACATCAAAATTGTTTATTATCATTTAAATAAATTATTCAACTGTTATTTTGTTTATGCCAACTTCAATAACTTTATATTCAATCCAGAATTGCTCCAATTATTATTTGGAAATGCTAAACTTTCCAAACAATTTTATGTTATGCGTGCGTTTTTAATGCCTTCTAAAGCCTACACTAGCGAAAATTTGATAAAATTTGTTGTGAATCATTTAATTTGCAAATTTTATGTAATCAAATTTATTTTTAAATACTATACTAAAGAATATATAAATATTTTGAACAAAATTTTAATTAATGGAGACAAGTTTAAAAATGTAAATATAATTTGTAGTCATAGCATACCA